GATTGTGTCTAACTTCATTTGCCATTATTAGCTGAATCTCTTCAACTTCTATACAGGGTGAAACTCTTGAAGTAAAAGTCAACAAGCTTACATCAACAAAAACACAATTACCATATGACTACTATTTCCTCAGTTATTGCAAGCCTCCAAAGATAAGGAACAGTGCAGAAAATTTAGGAGAAGTTCTTAGAGGTGACCGAATTGAGAATTCTGTATATACTGTGAGTATAGTTTCCTTCTCAGCTAATTTTTTTTAGCAGAAAACTTTTCTGTTTAGGAATGCTTGTAAAGAATAAACATTTCTTTATATGCCTTTTTTATTGTTTGGTAGCTAACTTCGTCAATTTCTGATCCAGTTTAATATGAGAGAACAGCAATCTTGCAAAGTTGCCTGTCGAGCAAAACTCGACTATGCATCTGCAAAGAATTTCAAAGTAAAGATTGATGATGATTATCGAGTAAACATGTTAGTTCTTATTCATTATGTATTATTCTGAATTTGTCATACAAGCATGGATATGCATGTCAATTTATATAATTTCTGTTAATTTGGAGAGTGTAATTAGCCTAATCAAGTTTATACCATACAAGCATGGCTAAGAGTGCAGGGTACAAAACTTTGAGGATCGTGGTTCGTAAATTGCATTTCTATGTTCACATATATATGTGCTCCATATAGGCAAGTTGTTTCTCTGAAGTCTTCTCGCGGATTTTATTCCAAACTCATTTCTTAATTGGCATATAGGATTCTGGACAATCTTCCTGTTGCAGTTCTCTGGCCGAGTAGGGATGAAAAGCCAGCAGTTTATGAGCGTGGATTTCGAGTTGGATTCAAAGATGAACTTTTTGGTGTAAGATCCATATTAGATTTGTCACACAGATTTTTGGACTCAAATATTTTATAATTTTGATTGTTATATTTTCTGGACCAGATGAAAGATCAGAGATATTTTATTTATAACCATCTCAACTTCAAAGTTAAGTATCACAAGGATCCTGATACTGATTCTGCTCTCGTTGTTGGTTTTGAGGTCATTCCTTTGAGGTTTGTCCTACATTTCAGCCTTTCTCTTCCGAAAGAATAAAAAATAAAAAATTGTGTAATTATATTTTCTTTTTGTTCCATTTTTATAATAGAAATCAACCATATATTGTAGGTCATGATATACTCTTAGGATTGCATGAGCTTTGATATCTAGCAATTTGATATTGAGACACGATCACATATACAAATATTTCCCGCTCTTTCTTCCTAAAATTCGTTGAATATTAAGTTGAAACCAAGATTGACTTAGTGGTTAAGCGTCTAATTCAATTGTAAGTTGGAGGTCTGAGTGTAATCGGAGCAGAAAATGAGCTTTTAGCATAATTCAAAGCTGCCGCTATTCTGTAGCCTCATTACTGAGCCAAAACTAATGTTTAATTTAGATTTTGCATTTGCTGCTCCTAACAAGTCTTTAATTATTTGGCTTGCCAAATGGAAACAGCATTAGTCACAAGTATTCGATATGGAATGACAACAACACTCGGTTAAAAACATGCAAACCAGGTACCAATACTGTACAACAACCTGGCATTGTTCCTCAAGAGATTGAATCTGGCACGGAGATTGTTTTCACGTATGATGTTTCTTTTGAGGTAGTTCATTTTTTTCCCCCAAATTTTCCTGTTTGCTCCCTTTTGTTCCTTGTGTGTCTAAATATAGGTGTCCTCCTGCAGTCTAGTGACATCAAATGGGCTTCTCGTTGGGATACATACCTTCTCATGAGTGATAATCAGATCCATTGGTTCTCCATTATTAATTCTTTGATAATTGTCCTTTTCCTATCTGGCATGGTAGCTATGATCATGATGAAAACACTATACAGAGACATTGCCAACTATAATCAGTTGGACCAGGATGAGGTGCACGAAGAAACCGGGTGGAAGTTAGTACATGCAGATGTCTTCAGACTACCTAATAATTACAGCTTATTGTGCGTGTACGTTGGGACTGGAGTCCAAGTCTTTGGAATGACTTTTGTGACTATAGCTTTTGCACTGCTTGGTTTCCTTTCACCCTCAAATCGAGGTGGGCTCATGACAGTCATGGTTTTCTTATGGGTTTTCATGGGATTACTTGCTGGTTATTCCTCGGGTCATCTCCACAAAATGCTCAAAGGCACAGACTGGAAAAAGACCTCTCTGAAGATGGCCTTCATGTTCCCGTCTGTTCTTTTCACCACCTTCTTCATATTGAATGCTCTTATATGGGGAGAGAAATCCTCAGGAGCTGTTCCATTCGGAACAATGCTTGTAATCGTGCTCTTATGGTTTGGCATATCAGTACCATTAGTTTTCTTAGGTAGTTATTTGGGTTTCAAAACCCCCGTGAAAGAGAACCCTGTCAAGACAAATAAAATTCCTAGGCCGATCCCTTTGCAGCCATGGTACATTAATCCACTTTTTGCCATGCTATTTGGTGGGATTCTTCCATTTGCTGCAGTCTTCATAGAACTCTTCTTCATATTGACGTCAGTATGGCTGAACCAATTTTACTACATCTTCGGCTTCCTCTTCATCGTCTTTGTCATTCTTTTGATCACTTGTGCTGAGATAAGTATTGTACTATGCTACTTTCAGTTGTGCAATGAAGATTATCGGTGGTGGTGGCGATCCTACTTGACTTCAGGTGCTTCTGCTCTATATCTTTTCCTCTACTGTATCTTCTACTTTTGCGTTAAGCTGGAAATCACAAAGCTCGTCTCAGCCATTCTCTACTTTGGTTATATGTTTATAATCTCTTATGCCTTCTTCATACTTACTGGGACAATTGGCTTTTGTGCATGCTTCTGGTTCGTTCAGAAGATTTACTCTTCTGTCAAGATCGACTAGTTAGTCGAGGAATACTTTCAGCATTTAGTAAGTGTAAACACAGAAGTCTAGAGGGGTATTAGAAGAACGATGCCCTCAGTTTGTAAGATTACAAAATTTGAATAGATAAAAGTTTACTTTTATGTCTCATCTGAACTATTATTTTTACCTTGCCAAATACAAAACAAGGCTCTACAGATATTAACGAAGAAAAGTATCCCGAGTTTCTTTAATCACTATCCACTTTGATCGAGTGGCAGCCTTAACCAGTTAAAAGATAGCTAGGGGTCCACCCAACCCTAGTAGTGTGATTGGCCTTGAGACTCCTTTATGAGAGGTCTGAGGTTCAAATCCAAGGATGCCATCTTAGTGACATGGAATCAGTATCTTATAATTGAGCCATCGCAAATGCTTGGAACCTTATCCTTCCAAACAAAGCATCCCATGTGGCTCTGTAAACGATTCACCATGCCATACCATCTTGCATTTTGTGACAAATTGCAGTCCCATTTTTTATTAAAAATGAGTTTTGTAATAATGATTTTCTAGAGAATGTGTTGTTAAAAATTAATGAAAGTTTTGGATTTACGTACAAAATTGTTTTCTACGACAAAATGTGGGGTCAAAAATAATTTTAAGGGAAACATTTAAAGATGATTGTGGAGGTTGAGGATCAAAAGTATAAAAATTTAAAGATGAAGGACACATGATGCAAATAATATTAGC